GTGTGTGTGTGTGTGTGTGTGTGTGTTCAGGAGCTGGAGTGTCTGCAGGATCATCTGGAGGACCTGGTCTCTGCCTGCAGGGACGTTGTGGGAAACCTGACGGAGCTGGAGTCAGAGGTGAGAGAAGCTCGTCATGATGTTGACATGAGCTGAAACCAGAATAAACCTGATTAACTACGACCATTAGGAGTTATATAAGGACCATGATTCACTACCATGGATTAAACTGTGTTTTAGTTTCTGTAACAAGGTTTTTCCGTCGTGAGGTGAAGAATTTAGTGTTTTGTTCTGACTTCCTGCGTCTGACTCTTCCCCTCTATTTGCTGCAGGACATCCAGATTGATGCTCTGCTCATCAGAGCCTGTGAACCAGTCATCCAGGCCTATTGCCACGTGAGCACACACACACACACACACACACGTATTTATAACATACAGAACTATTACAACCTGGCTAAATAAATAGCTGCACGTATGTGGTTGTATGCATCACATGTAAACAGTAATATTTTGTTAATCTGTGTGTGTGTTGTAGGACGTCGCTGATAACCAGATCGACACAGGCGACCTGATGGAGTGTCTGGTTCAGAACAAACACCAGAAAGAGATGAACGACAAGTGTTCAGTCGGCGTTACGCACTTCCAGCTGGTCAGTTTCCATGACAACATAAACACTGATCTATTCTCTACTAAAAAACATTATTGTTTATTTTCTGTTCGGTTTCTGTGTTTCTAAAACACACAACTGTATTTTGTGGTAATTGTAATCTGCTCTGAACCAACAGCATTACATTTATTGTCTCCTGTTTTAGTTTTTATAATGTGAATAAACATTCATTTCTTTCTTCCTCTGCTCAACTTTCAGATTCAAATGAAGGATTTCCGGTTCTCCTACAAGTTCAAGATGTCCTGCAAGGAGGACGTTCTGCGTCTGTGTCCGAACATCAAGAAAAAGTGAGTTCAAGTTTCCATTAAAAACATACATTTGTGTTTAATGCCTTCTTCACTGTTTTGTTGCTTTGCGTTGAAACCCTTGGTGAGCAGTTAAAGTTTCCTACCTTCCCCTGCAGGGTGGATGTGGTCATCTGTCTGAGCTTCACGGTGAGGAACGACACGCTGCAGGAGGCCAGGGAGCAGCGGGTTTCTCTCAAGTGTCGCAAACAGCTGCGGGTAGAGGAGCTGGAGATGGTAAATGTTTGACTCACGACAATCCTGTTGTTCACATTTTGATAACTTTATTTAAACATGCGTTTACTGAGAAAAAGAGCAAATGCAAAGATCGATTTTAAGAAATTATTTTAAATCATTCAAATGAAAAATCAAATTGCTCTGAAACACGTTTTAGATGCTGTTTTTCTTTAACAGTTTGTATGATGAAGTCTTCTCCTGTTTTCTCAGTCGGAGGATATTCGGTTGGACCCAGACTTGTATGAGCCGTGTCGATCCGACATCAGCCGACTTTGTCCCAACGTGAACTTTGGTAACGCTCAGGTGAGAAACATTAGGAACGTCTTCTATCCTTTCCTTTCTCTCCATCTTCTGCACTCTGTCCTTTCTCTTTTAGTTTGTCTGATCTCTCTCTCTCCCTCCTCTCCTCTGCTCCACATTCCTCTTCCCCCTCCTTTCTCTCCCTCCTCCGCAGATGATCGAGTGTCTGAAGGAGCAGAAGAAGCAGCTCGGTCAGCGCTGTCACCAGCGGATCTTCAAGCTGCAGGAGGGCGAGATGAACGACCCCGACCTCGACTACCAGCTGATGAGGGTCTGCAAGCAGATGATCAAGGTGAGGAGGAGGAAGAAGAAGAGTTGATACATCGATGTGTTAAATCTGAATCCACAATAATCAATATTTAGATAGACAAACACATTACAAGTGGTTATTACTCTTCAACTTGCTGGACCTGATCCTGACAGTTGAAGCTGTGACTCTCAGTCAGTTCCACTCTTCTCACAGGAGATCGTACCCACTCACCAAAGTTACATAGAACAGACGTTCAGGGTGAAGTGGGAATGAAAGCGGAAATATTCTCCATATTTAGAAGCTGCTATACTAGAATTCAAAGTTTCACAGTGCTGCTTTAAATCTTAATCGATCCTCCGAATAGTTTGGTTTGTGACTTAAATACAAACTTCTTCCTGCAGCGGTTCTGCACCGAGGCCGACGCCAGGAACGTTCTTCAGTGTCTGAAACAGAACAAAAACAGCGAGCTGATGGATCCTAAGTGTAAACAGACGATCACCAAGAGACAGATCACACAGAACACAGGTACACACACATCATTGAGAAATCTGGAAAAAGATCGAATGAATCTGAGCCTGTCTCACACACCTTCATCCTCCTCGTCCTCCTCCAGACTACAGGTTGAACCCGGTGCTGAGGAAAGCCTGTCGAGCCGACATCCCAAAGTTCTGCCAGCCCATCCTGAACAAGGCGACCGAGGACAGTGAGCTGGAGGGTCAGGTCATCACCTGCCTCAAACTCAAATACGCTGACCAGGTTAGACCACAACCACAATAACACACAACTTCACAACCGGCCGTGAAAAACGTCAGGAGGAGGCGACAAGTAGAGATTTGATGTGACAGAACTGCAAGTAGAAGGGTCAAATGATAAAAAAGTTTAGAAAAGGCAACAATAAAATCTGTAACGTGGGATAAAGGTTGAGTTAAACTTAAAGATGTGGAGGTATGGTTACGGCAAAATAACTTTTAAAATCAAATATGGCTTCTCTGTTCCTCTGTCACCTCAACTGTCCTGGTGTGTGTTACTGTTGTTTTTAAATTGTGTGTTTTGTGGGCTTCGGTTCAGAGGTTGTCTCCAGACTGTGAGGACCAGATCCGGGTGATCCTGCAGGAGTCGGCGCTGGACTACAGACTGGACCCACAGCTGCAGATGCACTGCTCAGACGAGGTAAACGCACAAACACATCTTTACTGTGTGAGTTTATTTTGGATCAAACCAGTTTTTAAACTTCCCTCTTACATATTTAATTGTGACATGGTACAGTCCTACAGTCTCCCTCTAACGGTTTGTTTTATTGCTCTGTGGTTTTCTGCTCTTTCTTGTTGCTGTTTTTCTCTTGTGTTGGATTCGTCTCCATTAGTTTATTTTCTATATGTTTATTTTTCTGCCTCCTGGATCTCCTTTGTTATTTAAACCTGTTGATTGATGACCAGAATGTTTTTTCCTCACTCACCTTTTCTCGTTTCCTCCTCCTCCTCCAGATCTCCAGGTTGTGTGTGGAGGAGGCAGCAGCTCAGGAACAGACTGGTCAGGTGGAAGAGTGTCTGAAATTTAATCTGCTGAAAATCAAACAAGACGCCTGTAAAAAGGTTAATAACTGTTACTGTTCTCCTGTCCAGTGAAATATTTCAGGACTATTTTGACGTCACGTATAATGATTGTTTAAAAGTATAATTTTATTTGTGGAACGTGATTTTTATTGAATTTACTCACACAGTAAGTGAGTGGAAATTATTCTGTATTTCCAACAAGGAGTTAAATTATTCCTTTGCTGGTGTGTTCAGTGTCTCTGCTCTGTAGGAAAATACACTGAATGATTAACAAGGCTTATGTTTGAAAAAGTTAAATATAGGTCAGACCAGCGTCAGTGTCGACAAATGTTTCTGCTCTAACTTCATAGATTCAGAGTTTGTGTGAAAACTGGTGTGTTTGTGTTCGTCCTCTGCACAGGAAGTCCTGAACATGCTGAAGGAGAGTAAGGCGGACATCTTTGTGGACCCCGTCCTTCACACCGCCTGCGCCCTGGACCTCAAACACCACTGTGCTGCCATCACACCCGGCAGAGGACGACGTGCGTTCTTTTACATTTTTAAATTGGATTTTGAACTTGTACAGAACTTTTCTTTTCAGATTTATAAAGATGCATCAGTTTCAGGATTTAGGAAAAGT